TTTTTTTTTCTTTTCTTTTTTCAATTTTTCGGAAAAACCAAAAAGGTTTCAGGAAAAAAACTGGAAAAAACCGTTTTTTTCCCGGGCCTTCACATCTCTAGGTGGGGCTTGTTACAAGTGCCCACCCCCTGGTCTCTTTACTGCCTGAGCTCCGCTCCTGTGCGCTCCTGCAGGAAATGACCCCTGCCCAGGGTTTATCTTGGTTATCTCTGCTGTTTTCGAATTTTGCTTTTGAAGTGAATGGCATGGACTGTTTGCAGCTATTGGTTCAGTATCTTCATATAGGATCAGTGTTTCTCAGACCCACCTTATGATCTGAGCTTTCAAATTCCAAATGACATGTTTTGAATTAGTCTCCCCCTCCTATTACTTCTGTTATGGACTGGGGGTGGGGTGGCTTGGGTCCGGTTTTACCATGTTATTTCACCCAATCTGCTTAATCTGACTTCTTTCTTTCTGTGATGGGAAGAGATTCAGCACAGCCAAATCACATATCTGCAGCTATACCAATGTGACAAAGTTCTTTTCCCATTCAGTGAAGCTCCCAGTATCCTTACCTATTCCCCCCTCTTTACCCATCTTTCTCCTTAATGTTCTGTTCCAGGTAGGCCAGTAGATTCCAACCCCCCTGAAATCCTCCATACTACAAAGTTTGCCAGGCAAGTCTCAATGCAAGCTGCTGTCTGCTCAGTTCCTGTGAATACCAGTGAGAAAGTAGCAGCTCTTTACCATGGGAAGATCATTGCCCAGATTTTGGAGTAGCGTGCGGCATGCCTGAAGTTAATTTCTTCTTAATGCTTTCATTTTCTGCTCCGTCGCTGAAGGCATGGTGTGCACGTCATCCAGTCCACCTTGATTTTAATCCAGGTTTCCTTTCTTCGTTAACACTGTGAAGTCTCTGATGCTCATACTGCATTGTTGTTGTTTTTTTAAATGGCTCTGATCAGGGGTCATTTTGTAGAAAAAGAGCTAGGGGAACTCATTAGCATAACTCATTAGCATATGCCACACCCCCTGACATCACTGGAAATGTGTCATAAGGCCACACACCCCGCCCCCAACGGTCCCAGCCGCCACCGCCGGCCTTGCAGCTCCACTGCCGAGCCCCATGAGGGGCCCGGCAGTAGACCTGCAAGGCCGGCGGGAGTGCAAGGAAGCCCCGCGAAGGCCCTCCCTGGCCCCAGGCAGGCAGGGGTGGGGAGAGGCAGGGAGGAAGCAACTTACCCTCCCTCTTCTCCTGCCTCCTCCTGGCTGAATGAGGGCCGGAAGCGAGGCGGCCGGAAGTGGGGGGTGGGGCTTCGTCATGTGCCCTGCCCCCTGTACCTCACCCGGGGGAACTGTGTTCCCCCGCGTTCCCCCCCGAAATGACCTCTGGCTCTGATTCCATTTTTGCAATACTGGCTGGTGGCTGTTGCTTCCAGATGAACAGCATTGCTTATGCATGTTCATCACTTGATGCAACAGTAGAGTCTGAACTTTTATGCAGTCTCAAATACAGTGTTTTTCATTAACGGTCTCTCCCTTCTACCTCCCATGTTTGGTTTGTTTGCTGGTAGCCGTCAACCCCCCCCCCATGAAGAAAGTTAATTTAAAGCCCTTCTAGACCACCCTGTCTCTCAACACAATTGCTAAGAGGAAAGGTGGCAGGAAAATGTGCTAAAATAACCTCAGAACAAAATACATTGATGTTTATAGTACCCAGGGGTCATTTTGTAGAAAAAGAGGTGCAGGAGTTCATTAGAATAACTCATTAGCATAGTTTATTTGCATATGCCACGCCCCCTGACATCACCGGAAGTCCACTGGACTGTTTTGGATTGCTAGCTGGGGGGGCGGAACGGGATGTGCAGATCTGTCCTCGCAGAGGAGGGAGAGCTTGTACCTGAATAAAACTTGGTCTTAAAGGTGCCACTGGACTGTTTTGGACTGGGGGCCAGGGGTGGGCTCTGCAACTTACCTGGCTGCTTCTTGCTCTGACTGAGGGCTGCTGGAAGCAGGGGGTGGGGCTTGTTGCATGTGCCCGCCCCCTGGGCTCTTTACTGCCTGAGCTCCGCTCCTGTGCTCTCCTGCAGGGAATGACCCCTGATAGTACCCATCTCATGGCAGGAACACGAGGGGATTGGGGGAGGGGCATGGACAAGGAGGCAGGGTTGTTGCAAGGGGGAGCTCAACTGGGTAGTTTGGGCAGCAACAGGAAAAAAGGAAATTTCAGTTTGCATTGAGGCAAAGGACTTGATGGAAGTACCCCTGCTCTGTAGCCCGTCATACAGAGGCAAAGCATATTTTATAGCCGTGAACCTAGTTAAATACCTTTGAATGGGAAGGGTGACAGGAGCAACTGGGAAACTACAGAAGCCCCAGGGGTCATTTCCTGCAGGAGCGCACAGGAGTGGAGCTCCAACGGTAAGGAGCTCAGGGGGTGGGCACATGCAACAAGCCCCGCCCCTGCTCCCAGCAGTCCTCAGTCGGGTCACGAGGAGCAAGAAGCAGCCAGGTAAGTTGCAGAGACCCCCCCCCCCGGCCCGCCTTCATGTACAAGCTCTCCCTCCTCTGTGAGGGCAGATCTGCATGTTCCCCTCCCCAACATAGCTCGCAATCCAAAACTGTCTACTGGCACCTTTAAGACCAACGTTTATTCAGGTACAAGCTCTCCCTCCTCTGTGAGGACAGATCTGCCCCTCCCCCCCATAGCTAGCAATCCAAAACAGTCCAGTGGAGCCTGAGCGGTGGGTGTTGCCTTCTGACACACTTCCGGTGATGTCAGGGGGTGTGGCATATGCAAATAACTTATGCTAATGAGCTCCTGCACCTCTTTTTCTACAAAATGACCCCTGAGAAGCCCGTCTCCATGTAGAAAACACCTCAGTCATTCTGCTGCACTACACCAGCTTTCCAGCCATTCGATCTAGTAACTGGCTCTTTAAAAATGAAGGCTTGAGTGTTTTGCCCCTAGTACCATATTTCTGTAAAGTAAAGGTAAAGGTTCCCTTGCTCGAAAGCCAGTCGAATCTGACTAGGGTTGCGGTGCTCATCTCCGTTTCCAAGCCGAAGAGCCAGCGCTGTCTGAAGACGTTTCCGTGGTCATGTGGCCGGCATGACTAAACGCCAAGGCGCACGGAACGCTGTTACCTTCCCACCGAAGTGGTACCTATTTATCTACTTGCAATTTCTTGCTTTCGAACTGCTAGGTTGGCAGGAGCTGGAACTAGAGACGGGAGCTCACTCCGTCATGCGGCACACTCGGGTCTCGAAATGCTGAACTACTGACCTTCCACAGCCTGCAGTTCAGCGTCTTAACCCCTTGAGCCACCGCAGCTCCTATTTATCTACTTATCTACTTATTTATTTACCTATTTATCTACTTGCAATTTCTTGCTTTCGTTGTGTGTAATCTCATCCTCCAAAAGCCGCCGTCACAGTAGGGAATGAATTGGAAATGCTGTCTTGCCTGCTTGGCAAAATATCTGCTGATGTGAGTCCCACCTGAGGAGGCAGTGGGACTTGGGTTCATTTCACCTGCTCAGCGTCCTGAATGCTCAGCAGTCATTCATCCGTTTGCCCTTCTGAAGGAGACTGTCTGGGCATTTTTGGATGCCTCACGTGTCCGACCGGAATGCTTTGCGAAGTCACAGGATGCACTTGTGAAGAGATGGACTTGTGCTAATCTGCCCTTCTTGTTTCTTTTCAGCTGGCAGGAGGAATCATTCTAGGTGTGGCATTGTGGCTTCGCCATGACTCGCAGACCACAACTCTCTTGGGAGTAACACTAGATGACCGGGAACCGCCCAACACTTTCTATGTTGGTAAGCAGAGAGAACAGAGGGAGCTGGTTTTGAAAGTGGGTGCACTTAAGGACTGGCTAATTGTCCTTAGTAAAAGCAGGGCTATTTTGGGGCAGGAACGCACAGGAACGGAGTTCCGGCTGGCTTCCAAGTTGGCCACACCCAGCAGGGACTCATTAGCATAATAGGCCACACCCAACAGCAGAAACTCATTAGGATTGGCTCCATTAGGGGTGTGTGGCCTAACATGCAAAGGAGTTCCTGCTACAAAAAAAGCCCCGGGTTTTGGCAACAAACAAGGTAAACAGAATAAGAAGCAAAAGGTGGGTGTGGCTGGATGACCACACTTCTGGTAACATGGGGGAGTGGCCTAATATGCCAATGAGCTGTGCTGTCAGGGGTGTGGCCTAATATGCTAATGAGTTCCTGCTGTTGGGTGTGGCCTATTATGCTAATGAGTTCCTGCTGGGCTTTTTCTACATAAAAAGCCCTGAGTAAAAGTAATGCAAAGTAAGACATGTGTACAGAATACGGATTTGATGACATGGGAAACACAGTACATTGTTAGTACACTTTCCTAAAGACTTAAGTAAATGGTGCATTTTACCGGCTGTTGCCCTCTATTCTAGACATAATCTGTAGGTTTGATCATTTGAGCCGACTGGCAAACAGTGTTGTGGAAATAAAGCATATTATGTTAGTGACTGTAGAAGATCTTCTGGTTCTTTTCAGATCAAGGATTCTGACACAGTCTGTGTACTACAGTTGTGCAGCACTCACTGTGCGATTTCCAAATCTCAAAATTCAGATTACAATAAAATTATGTCTGTTTTTGTTGATGCTAATTGAAGAGCTGTAAACAGAATCTGAAGCATCCATCTTAACTTGAGGGTCTGTATGATAATACCATAATCCAAGCTTGTTCCAGGAACTCTCGCTGTCTCCTCCTCTTCCCCTGATCTCCTACTTTTTGCAGCCTGAAAGCTCTGCCTGCCCAGCCTCTTGATGTTATAGGTTGAACTTGTATGCAGGTTAGCTTCTATGAATGCTATTGGTGCCAGTTTGGTGTAGTGGTTAAGAGCCAGTTTGGTGTAGTGGTTAAGTGCGCGGACTCTAATCTGGGAGAACCGGGTTTGATTCCCCACTCCTCCACGTGCACCTGGCTGGATGACCTCGGGCAAGCCATAGTTCTGATAAGAGCTGTTCTTGAAAAAGCCATTTCTGTCAAGAGCTCTCTCAGCCCCACCTACCTCACAGGGTGCCTGTTGTGGGGAGGGGAAGAGGAAGGAATTTGTAAGATGCTCTGAGACTCCTCTGGGTAGTGAAGGGCGGGGTATAAATCCAATCTCCTCCTCCTCTTCCTCCTCTTCCTCTTCTTCCTCTTCCTCCTCTTCTTCCTCCTTCTCTTCCTCCTCCTCTTCGTCCTCTTCCTCCTCCTCCTCCTCCTCCTCCTCCTCCTCCTCTTCTTCTTCTTCTTCTTCTTCTTCTTCTTCTTCTTCTTCTTCTTCTTCTTCTTCTTCTTCTTCTTCGCTTCAGCACTCTTGAGGCACCCGATGTGGGAGTTCTCCATATTTATGGTGCCATAGGCTTTCAAATGACCCTTGTTGAGGAGGTTCAGAGCTTGCCCCTAGAGACTAACAGACATCCTTTACTGCTTTTCACATTTCATAATATGTTTCAGCGGAGAGGAGGGGTGGGGTGGGGTGCGGTGCGGTGGGAGAAGGGTGGGTTCTCTGCTGCAGTGTTTCTCAGACCTTGAACTGGGTGGGAAAAGAATTACATTACCATCTTGGGGGGGGGGGGGGAGATCCTCAGCCTACCATCAGTCAACTGTCCCACAGGTCACTGTGCAGAGATTTTGCTTGTAGCACAGCCGCACGCTGGCATTAGGAAAGCAATAGAGGCTGTATACTCCCGCAGAAAAAGTAAGCCAGAAGGGTACAGTCGTCCCCACAAATCCAATATGTATACCCATTCCAGGTGCTCCAAAACGTCTGGTACATGGGGCCACCCTACAGTTTTAGGACCGTAGCTTTACTGAGCACAGTGCCGCGCAGCTGTCTTAAATTGAAAATAAATTATGATGTTCAGCATGACTCATGCTCTCCAGGCCTGTGTTTGTGTGCATGTCTGTAATAAATGTATTTCGGCTTCATGTGATCCCTCTTTTTTCCCTCTTGCTTTAATTTTTACAAGCGAACCAGCCAGCTTGCTGACATTCTTGAAAGCCGAGCCCCTTATTTGGACATGTTCATCTCTACACGAGCAGCAGTGCAAAGAAGCTACAGCCGTATCAAACAGCCTCTGCTTCAGAGCCCCTGTTTCCCTCTTGGGCTTGCGAGTGGGGTTTCTTGCTCCGTTCGCAGCTCCCTCCCTCTTTTGTGTCCACAAGTCATGAGATGCTGATGGAAGGGAGTGCCTCCTTGCCCTTTCCCAGGGCCTTTGCGGTTGCTGCCCTCTTACTGTTTCCCACTGAGTGTGGTTGTTGATTTGTAGAAAATGAAACCTATTTCATCCGGAGAGCCAGTTTGGTGTAGTGGTTAAGTGCGCGGACTCTAATCTGGGAGAACCGGGTTTGATTCCCCCACTCCTCCACTTGCACCTGGCTGGATGACCTTGGGCAAGCCGTAGTTCTGACAAGAGCTGTCCTTGGAAAAGAGCAGTTTCTGTCAGAGCTCTCTCAGCCCCACCTACCTCACAGGGTGTCTGTTGTGGGGAGGGGAAGGGGAAGGAGTTTGTAAGCCGCTCTGAAACTCGTTTGGGTAGTGAAGGGCGGGGTATAAATCCAGTCTCCTCCTCTTCTTCTACCTCACAGGGTGTCTGTTGTGGGGAGGGGAAGGGAAAGGGGTTTGAAAGCCGCTCTGAGACACCTTTGGGTAGTGAAGGGCAGGGTATAAATCCAATCCCCTCTTCTTTTACCTCCAAGGGTGTCTGTTGTGGGGAGGGGAAGGGAAAGGGGTTTGTAAGCCGCTCTGAGACACCTTTGGGTAGTGAAGGGCAGGGTATAAATCCAATCTCTTCTTTTTCTTCTTTAAAAATTTCCCACATAGACCCAGGTGTATAATAATATTCAGAACCTCTCCGAGAGTTAAGATTTTCAGAAGCCTCAGAGGGGCTGTCTTTGTTGCTGCATGCCAGTTATGGAACTCCCTCCCCTGGGAGAGCCATCTAGCGTCATCTCTGCTATAATTCAGGCGCCAGGCCAGGGCTGTAACAAGGCAAGTGAGGCACTTGCTTTGGGTACACAGTGCTGAGGGACACACACACAACAGTATATTTTGACTAAAATAAGCATGTTGTGGTTACTCTTGTTATTTATGGACTTACCTCTTTACCAAAATAACTACTATGAAAATATAAGGGGGCACAATTTTATATTGTTGCCTTGGGTACAAAATAAGCGTGTTATAGCTCTGCACTAGGCCCTCTCCAGCCCTGCAAGCTTTTATGAACATTGTGCTGCTCTTGGTCTTCTATCCTTTATTGGATGCTATTCTTTTGTTCCTATTGTTCTAGTATTGTGTTTTTGTGTCTCTCCCCCCCCCCCCACTGTTGTAAACTTGCTCTGAGGACTTCAGGTGGGAACGGCAGTATGTCAACTATCTTACATAGTATCCACAGGGACTTGGCAATATTATCGCATCAGATGGTCGTCAGAGTACTACCTCTTGGTTATTTCAGCCTCACCAGTGAAGACAATGGATGCTATATGCCTTGCTTCATCTGCACAAGCGGCAACTCCGCTCTGTTGCACCTAGCTCAGCTCGGCTGAGTAGGCCACAGTGCTGTTGGTTCTTCCTTCTCTTAGAATTCTGCGGAGTGCAAGCCCAACCACACCCGCACCAAATTAGATTTACAGAATCAAACCAGTTTATTGAGCACAATATCACACAACCAGGGCTATTTTTGGGCAGGAACGCAGGGGAACGGCATTCCGGCTGGCTTCAGAGTTGGCCACGCCCACTACAGCCAAAACCTCTGCGTGCGAGGCTACAGAGGGAAGGCCTGGAGAGTAAAACCCCCCCGGTTACTCTTGAGGCAGGGGGGACAGGGGGGCCCTGGAAGGATCGGGGAGGCATTTAAATGCCTCCCCGTGCCTTCCCCGGCCTGTCCAAGGGTCGGCTTGCCTGGGCTCCCTGCAGCCGCGGGGTGCCCGGGAAAACCAAGGGAAGGTGTGGGGGTGTGGCCTAATATGGTAATTATATGCGCTGTTAGGGGTGTGGCCTAATATGCTAATGAGTTTCTGCTGTTGGGTGTGGCCTATTGTGCTAATGAGTTCCTGCTGGGCTTTTTCTACCAAAAAAGCCCTGCACACAACACTAACGACAGCAAATAATAAAGTAGTAAAGGTAAAGGTTCCCTTGCTCGAAAGCCAGTCGAATCCGACTCTAGGGTTGCGGTGCTCATCTCCGTTTCAAAGCCGAAGAGCCAGCGCTGTCCGAAGACGTTTCCGTGGTCATGTGGCCGGCATGACTAAACACCGAGGCGCACGGAATGCTGTTACCTTCCCACAGAAGGGGTACCTATTTATCTAGTTGCAATTTCTTGCTTTCGAACTGCTAGGTTGGCAGGAGCTGGAACTAGAGATAGGAGCTCACTCCGTCATGCGGCACACTCGGGTCTCGAACCGCTGAACTAACGACCTTCCACAGCCTGCAGTTCAGCATCCTGTTACCTCAGCCCCAGGAATTAAGGGTATCAGATGAAGTTACAGGGTGGCCAGCAGGTCACTTCAGAGCCCGTCTAGTCTTTTCAGCGATGGAAAGGAGGAAGATTACACCCCCAGTCGTGTTTAGCTTTACTCCTGCTGTGGACTGAGCGGGTAGAAACGAGCTTATTTTCTTGGGATGACGTTGTTTTCTCTCTGTGCTTGTTTCTTCCTGGGTTACTCTGCCCTATTATTGGGTAGACGGTCTACTTTTAAAGAGGAATGTTTCCATTGCTTTCAGTTGGGAGGTGAGAAATTCAGTTGCACCTTCCCTTTGCAAACCATTCCTTTCATGCACGTTCTGAGAAACCCC